CCTGCCCACCGCCCCGCACCCCACCCCCCGCTAGTGGTCCGGGAATTGCAAACACCTGGCGGGGGCACGGGGCGCGCAGCCTTACATTCCTGAGGTCTCCCTGGAGAGTCCCAGTCTCCAGAGGCCGCTTCTCTCCGCCTTTTCCTAAACGGCTACCTACATTCGTGGTCAAAAGAATTGCTTAGGGTGGTATTCAGGATTCACAGCAGGGATGGGGGAACAGGTTAGGGAGGCAGATCTATAAAGCAGCAAAATGTGCAGCCAGCTATTCCAGAATTGCCCTTGACCACATTGCATCCGCATTCCAAAGGGATCCCCTTCCTTAGGTGTGTCCTGGACCTGGTTCATTAACTACTGTTCCCCGGAACATTCGCTTAACTGAATATACGTGCGGCTATGTAACTCATCATTAGTACCATCAAACTGCACTTATTAAGTGCTCCTTGAGTTGTGTTTTCAAGTGGAAATCATTTACTGAGTTCCTGCAGGAGCTTCCTGCCCATGCTAGCCAAAACCAATTCATTTAGGCACTGAAGTAACAGTGTTCATTTATTTTTCCATGTTAACACATCAATAGGTTCTAAGATTAAGGACCTGATAGCAGGCTGCTCTTATGAGCCTAAGTCACCCCTGGATACAAAAAACAGAGCACCTAATAGATCTTAAATTTAAAGATGGCCTCCCAGTTTAAAGATGGGAGAAGGAAAGGGCATGATCTTCTTGGTTTTTCCCTGTCAGCAGTGAAGGTTTTTCCAATTACCTTTCTTCGCACTCACTGAAGGGCTCCTATATGAACACAGATGGTCTGCAGAACACAGGACCCTAGAACTCTTCCCATTATCCTCTGGCTGTCCTGCCTCCCCCTGGTGCTCACTGTCATTGCTTACCGCAGCCTTGCTGCCTCACCCACCCTTAACGTCCCCTTCTCCCTTCTCCTCTCCTATCAATCAGCTCCAGCCTCTCTGCAAGATCTCTTCAGCTCTCCCTGCCTGCCAGGTCTCAATTACAAATCAGCATTTCTGGGGTAGGGCCCAGATTCTGCATTTTCAACCCTCTCTCCCAGTGATCAGGATGCTGCTGGTTCGTGGACCACACTTGGAGAAGCAAGGTTCTATGGAGTTTTAAGAATTGCTTGTACCTGATGGAGAGTCATTAGACACCTGTGCCTTCAGGGAACCAGTTCAGTAAAATGGAGTCTCTCCACTCATAGACATGTGTATGGTCTGGTGGTGACAGACACATAAAACCACAATAACACCAGGCAGCAAATGCTGTAATAAAGGGATGTACACCTTCCTCTCAAGTGCTATGAGATGAATCAAAGCATTTTTAGAAAAAAAGCAATGAAAATAGTTGTTTAAAATACACATAGCAGTTTCAGCATGCTACAGTTCAAAGTACCTGCCAAAATTATAGGAGTCTCATCCGCAGGGCAGTTTAAGGAAAGCGAAGGCATAGCACCAGCCAGACACTATTCTAGTCACTAACACTGACACAGGCCCTGACCTACAGAGCTTCCAGCAGTGGAATTTATTCCCTGTTGAATGTCTTTGAAAATAAGAAAAAACAAAGAACCGAGGATTGGGGAAGTAGAAAGGTAATAAGGTGGGTGGCAGTGGTATGTGTGTTTCTGCAGTGAAACCTGGAAAGAGTTTAAGGAAGAAACAGGGCAATGAGCTATGCATTCACAGTTCTGCTCAGTTACCCTTCCCTTTGAATGATTACTTGTAACAGAAAGAATGTCAACTTCACTGTACTCCTGATTCTATGTTCATCTGTGTATTTGTTAGGACTTTTGTTGTCAAGGGGCAGAAATCCAATTCAAACTAGCTTTAAAAAAAAGGGGGTGCTGTTGTCTGGCATGGCTGGGTAGGATCTATACAGTGGCTCATACAGAAGAGGAAGAAGCTGCAGGAACCGATGTCTACCTGTTTGCCAAGACTCCCTGTCAGTCCCTGTCACTGGCTTATTTCCTGTCTTTGCCAGCCTCAAACTGTCCTCTCCTAGACAAGCAGTTGTCAAGGTGGCCCAGGCAGCCCCTGGCTTGCATGCTGAGACATCTTCCTAGCTCGTGAGAGGAACTCCCAAAGAACTGGCAGCCTGGTGTGGGCCCAGCCCTGCACCAATCAGGTGGCTAATGGGATGGGATGAATCAGTGGCCAGGCCTGAATTGTGTATAGTCCTGAAATGCTGTTTCCATCTAAAGGTCACCAAATGGGTGTTTCCCTAGAGGGAAAAAGTGAGGTGGGACATGGGGCGGAGAGAGCCTGGGTGTCCTCTATAGCTTGGAATGTGGTGGACAGAGGGGTTGCACAGCCTTCTGTAGCAGGGGTCCTGAAGTAGCTTCCTGCAAGGCTGCGTCTCAATTTATTTGCCACCATTACAGAACACTGGAGCAGATGCGCTCAGTATGTGACATCTATTGTCTTTTCATCACTTATCTTTTTTGTCACCTTTTCTTATAACTTTAGCAAGAAATTGTAAACCTTCTAGAATGATCTGGCATTTTTACAGCCTCTGCCAACAATTATTGTTTTGTGGGGGGAAAAGATCTGTGCCCTTCTTAATCTATGCAACTTCTTCATCGTAGACAACTTCACCCTGTACCTGTGTCTACTCGCCCTTCTTGGTAACTGAACGCTGTCCCAGGTTACTAGTTGGAGCAGGTCAGAACCGGAGCCAGCACTGCGCAGCGCCCATGGCGTGGAAGTGTTACCGGGCTGCTGCCTTCCTGCCTGTGCTGATGAGTGCTAGTCACTTTCTCTATGTGTTTCGTTGGTGCACTGATCTGGATCAGACTGACCATATGTTCTTCTCTCCAGCCAAGGGGCTAGGCCATACTTGAGAATAAAGCATGACTCTAAATTAAAGTTTAAGTTTTATTAATTCTTTACCTTACAGTAAATTTTATCGCAGAAAATTCCCATTTCAGAAGTGTTCAGTGTGATGAAGAGATGCCAAGTGAATGTAACCACCTTGAGAAATAGAAAGTTACTGGCACCCCAACGCCTTCCTCTTGTCCCGTCCCCGTTATTATCCCCATGGGAGAAGGAAGCCACTATCCTCGTTCGAACATCATGGATTAGGTTTACTGGTTTTGAACTTTACATAAATGGAATCCTGCACCACATGAACTATTGCGCCTGGCTTCTCTCACTCTCCGTGATGTCTGTGAGGTTTACCTGTGTGTTACATAGAGCAGTAGTTTCGCCTGTGCGGTATCCTATTTGTAGAATATGCCACAGTTTTTAAATCCATTCTCTCTTCATCAACATGGGGCTGTTCTCTGGTTTTGACTATTGCAAATAAACCACTATAAACGTCCTTGTACATGTCATGTGATGCTCATATGTACATGTTTCTATTAGGCATGGCCAGTAGGATGAAGAATTTCTCCATCAAAGTACACTCTCATGTCTAATCCTGCATTTAAACAAATCTGGCTGGTATTTCAGGACA